CATAGTGCCTAAGGCACTTGATTGCTAACCAGAAGGCTGGTGGTTCAAACCCATCAGCCACTCTTCGGAAGGAAGATGGGGCAATCTACTTCCATAGTGATACTGCCTTGAAACCCAAGGAGGGGTCACTATGAGGTGGGTCCGACTCGACGGCACATAACAACAACAACAATATAGATACAGAATTAATTATATTTTGGTAGTTGTTCAACAAACAAAGTACACCTAGAGAACATAAAAATTCTTTATTCAACCTAATCCAGCCAGTATTGATAGTCTGCTATATTAAAAACAAGACATTTAAAAAAATTACAGCACAGTTAGCAAGACAGTGACAAATTATGTCACTAAATTTAATTTTATATTCTTGTCAGTCATTTGATAATCATGTGATGAACAATATTTTCAGTCACTTTGAATGGATCTAAGTTAAATGCAAAGAAGAGAATTCTACTAGTCATTGAATTTTGTAAAAGAGGTTTAAAACATTAGTTTTCAGAAATAACACAGTAAAGCAACATGAAAATAAACTGGCAAACACAAAACATCCACTCATCCCCAAAGTCGACATCCCTTTATTTGTCCCTTAATACCTTTCTTTTACATGTTCATCCCTTTTTCCTAAGAGTAGGAACATGTTTTTAAGTAACTATTCAGCAATTTGAATCAACAAATGCTCTGTAGGGGCTATTTTGAACCTAAAGTGCCTCTGTTCCTTTAATTTCAGTTAATCCTGGAAATAGTGTCACAAGTATTACTTGCATTTCCAAAATGAAGAAAACTGTAGCTCAGATAAAGTCCCTTGGCTAAGGTATAGAGTTATTAAAGCAGAGTTAAGATTTGAACTCAGTCCAATTTTCAGTCAGCCTCATGCGCCTTTGTTGCTTCATGGTGGTGCAGGCCAACTTGGTGTAGGCACCTCTCCAACCTGGAGAGATTGGCACACAGTATTGAGCTAGGATTCTTGAGTTTAATGAAAGTCTTCAGTTCCAGGGTTAGAGGCCACTCTGGTCCCCAGGCACTTGCAGTTCCCTCTCCACAGCCCTAGAAAACCTCCCCAAAGGATGAGAGTTGTTGTCCTGGCCTTTATGAGCCCTGATGTCAATAAATCTGAGCAGCTACTCCCCCATTTTGGGCATTAAAGTAGTAAACGGGGAACTGTGTGCTTGTGTTAATGTCAGTAAAGCCTGCCTCAAAACTCTTTTATATAACAAAATGATACAGGAAGTTTCTCTTTCCATATTGAAAACGAAAAGCGAATATAATTTACATTTAGAGTTACATAATCTAAGTTATTTTTACATATCATCATTGATTTTATATTTCCTCTTCAGAATTGTAGCAGTGTTCTTAATAAGGCTCACTGTCAGTCAAATCTTCCCTCCCTCCACAAATAATTACAACTCTGAATGTTCAACAGCTATTCACATAAACTTCATATAACTCAAAATTAAGACATTCATACTATAGAATGGTACTGGTCTTTAATTACTAAAATTAACATACATTATTGCAATCTAACAGTTCAATCTACATTTGCAACACTCTTCAAGAGAAGTGCCACTTATCACTAAGGGGAACATTTACTACTGTCATGCATTAGATACCATGAACAAGAAAATAAATAGGGTTTTTGGAACTATCTTTTAAAAATGTAATTTTAATTAATGAAAATAACTGCAAGACCATTCAGATTGCCAAAAAATATTAAAATGGCTACTCTTTATTGAAAATGGCTTAAAAGAAATACTTGCTTTTGAGAAATGAATATAAAACTAATTAAACAGTGATCATTAAGGTGCTAGCCTTATCAAGATGTCAAGCAATTAAAACCTAGAAATATTAGCATTGCTTTTCTATGATAAATTGACTTAAGCCTAAAACAATGACTTCGATATTTACTTAAGACTTCATGTTTTCAAAATTATTTCCTCACTGACTAGTATAAAAACAAAGAGTTCAAGGCCTCACCGTGATCCACTCACTGCTGGTTTTCTGTTTACTAAAACTAGGCAGTAAACTTTGTAAGAGCAAGGGCCATGTCTGTGTTGTTCACCATTGTATCCGACAGCACTTAGCACAGTGCTTGGGCATAGGAGGTGCTCAGCAAATATTTGAATAACTGAATCAATGAAAGAGGAGAGTAAAATAACTTTATTGATTTTTTGCAAATCTGTCTCTGTGCTCAAGCTACTAAAATCTGGCAGCTCTAATTTCTAGAAGTATGGATTGAAAAACCTTACTCCAATGCCGGGAGGAGCTGATGACTGAGTCACACTTACAGACATACACAGTAATTAAGACTGCATGGGTCAGAATTACATTTTGAACTATGAGATGTTAACATCATATAAATAAAATTTAACAGTGAAAAAGTGATGAATCTGGAAGCCCTGTGAATTTTTATCCTATACATTTTGGAGAACATCACATGGGTTAAGAAAAACACAACAAAATCTCATTGTTCAAATAATCATTGAAATGTTTACATACATTTTTGGTTTATTATTTATTGATAGCTAATTTAATTTCCATTTCCTCATATTAATATGTGCTGTTTAGCAGGTAAGCAAATTATGCCAGTGAGAAAAATCCTCATAGTACCTTCATTGAGTTGCTGATTCTAAGAAAACACTGAACATGAATATGTACAAAAGAGGCATTTGAATAAAACAGTTTGTGCATTTTTTAATATTTGCACAGTTTGAGCTTTACATTTCTGTCTGGAGAAAAAATGAAAAAATCCCAGGTTTACCATGCTAAGAACGGTATAGATGACTGCCACGAAAGAAGTACATATAAAACAATGAAAATAAATCACATCCTTGGGTTCCGTGATTACTGAGAGGATTTCCCCTGTCCTAAGTATTTTATTATATTTCTTAAAAATATAGGAGCAGCAGCTTATCACAAGTCTCCACTACTGTGCATTAATGATGGAATCAGAACAACACAACAGACTCATGGATGAGAGGACTGCAGAACAACCAGAAGTCAGTTTTATGCTTCTTCTTGCTCTGGATAATTTAGAATTTTGCGGTGTGCCTGACGTAAATATTGTTGCTGTTTGAAGTAAACCTTAAATGCTCCTTTTATGGCAACAAAAGCAATTCCACCCTGAAATAAAAAGAAAAATTAGCTTTTTATAATTCAGGTTTAGAGAAGCATAAGAATAAAAATGATTTTACTTGGATTATAAGAGATGTATGCTTTGATACAAAACAAATGCAGATAACTTCAAGTACATCAGTTATCTTTTCTACTGGGGGTGAGAGAGGGAGACAGAAAGACACTACAGGTAACAGTGCACAAAGATGCCTTCCTTATTATCCTACTTGAGTAATCTTTATTCCATTTAGCTCTCCATCTACATTTTTTCCCCCTTATTATTTTGTTTATTGTGGTAAATATGTATGTAACAACATTTGCCATGTCAACATTCTTCACATGTAACTGTATATACTATTATGTATTATATTGAAGAATGTTAGGATCTATGTGTGAAGGGGAAGTGGGAAAAGTAAAAATGATAGCACACAGCATGAGTGCTTACTAAATACTGGTTTACTATACGCCAGTACTTCAAATGAATTACCTTCTTTAATCCTCACAATAATCTCGAGGTAGTTATCATTATCATCTCCCTCCTATATGCACAGAAGTCAAGAAATTTGCTTTTAGGTTTCACAGCAAGTATTTGAGATCAGATTTAACCAGGCAGTCTGGTTCTAGAACAGAAACTCTACCATCATTCTATTGGCAAGGGGGATGAAGATGATGATATACGCATATTGCAAGAGAGAAGTGACTCCCAGCTTAGTTCTGGTAGGTCAGCACTGCAGCAGTAGCTCCTCCCCTCTCGATTCCCACTCAAGCTACTGATGGCAGTTGGGATCAAATAGAGGCCTAAGGCACAGCAGTCACAGACACAGTTTTTATACTGCCCCATTGTGTTTTTTTCATAAACAGAGAGCCCATTCTTTTGTATAGCCAGCTGAAAAAAATGTTAAAGCCATCTTACCAAGATTGTCCTTTGTAAATTAGAATTAACGCTACTGAACATCAGTTTACCAACTATCGTCGCAATAGTAGGAAAGACAAGTGCTCCGCACAAAATTCGGGTAGCAGAGACATGATCTGCTAAAGGATTAGCCTCAGCTGGAATTCGAGGAACAGGACAACCAATCCCTACAGGAAACAAAAAAATAAAAAAGCAATGTCCCAGTGCTAATCAATCATAATAGCTAACAACCATTTTAAAATATTAATTTAAATATTTCTAAAAAGCAAGATCAATTTGGCATGTACAATATAACCATAATTTAGGACATTACCTGGAAATATACTGTTCAAAATTTGTAGTTTATTTGAGTATTTGCGCCATAGCCTGAGCACATAGTCCTCCCAGCGAATCATCTTGCCTAGTATCAGCATGACAGGAATAGTAGGAAGTCCAATTAAAAGGAATAAAGGATCAGCTCTCTCCATAACATCCAGACCTTCTTTATGGCCTACAACCTGTGAAATGGATAGCATTTGCTAGAATCATTCCCTTTTTGAATGAAAGATTCTTTATACTTAAGCTCAATTCTTTTTTTTTTTTTTAAATTGTGATTTGGGTGAAAATTTACAGAGCAAATACATTTTCCATACAGTAGATCACATACACTTTGTCTCATGACATGGACCACAATTTAGCACAAGGCAACATCTCCTCTCCCACTTCCTCCCGATAGCTACCTCTTCCCTGTGTCCATCCCTCCATGCATTCCTGCCTCCTGAGCCGTCTCCCTGTGCATAAAGAGCCCTTCTTTCTCTCTTGCTTGTTCTCTCCAAGGAGTGTATCTACCTCAGGTAAATGCTCAATTAGTATGCCTGTCTATTGTTAAGCTCAATTCTTTTTATAGAAAATGGAAAACTTACAAGAATGCAGAAATAAAGTTTTAAAAATAAGCTAGAAAGCTATCAATCCCAATTCTTTCATTCAAGGGGGAAAAAAAGCTCCCAAGCTATTTCATATAATGTGGAATAAAAAGCTTTAAAAATGGCCAATCAGGGCAAAGGAAGTTCTTAGCCACAGCCAACCACTCTGAGGGAATGAGTTGTCAGGCCTGTGGGTTTGGGACCCTAGTCGCAGGAGACATCAAGCTCAACTGGCATAACGTACTACACAAAAACACTGTTCTACAACCTACTTTGGTGAGTAGCAACTAAGCTCTTAAAAGCTTGGAAGCGCCCATCTAGATGCCATAATTGGCCTTTCCCATCCAGAGCAAAGACGAATGAAGAAAACCAAAGACACATGGAAACAACTAGTCCAAGGGACTAGCAGACCATGAGAACCTCGGTCTGTATGACTATGAGACTAGAAAAACTAGATGATGCCCGACTACCACTGTTAACCACTCAGAAAGGGATCAATACAGGAGATTCTGGATAGAGTGGGAGAAAAATGTACAACAAAACTCAAAATCATAAAAAAACACCAGGCTTATTGATCTGATAGAGACTGGTGAAACCCCTAAGACCATGGCCCCTAGTCACCCTTTGGGCCTAGAATTGAACTCACTCTTTACACCAGCTAGGTACACTCTCCTTAGATCAATCAATCATGGGAGATCAGAAGGGCAGTATTTACACAGGAGATAGCTCAGAGGGCAGGAATGTATAGGAAAGAAGCACACAGGGAAAAGGTACCCACAGGGAAGAAGTGGGAAGAGAGCTGTGACATTATAGGGATTGCAATCAATGTAATGAAACAAAATGTGTATGAACTACTATATGGAAAAGGAATTTGCTCTGTAAACTTTTACCCAAATCACAATTGAGAAAAAAAAAGGCCAATCCATGCAGATTACACTTTATAAAAGGATTTCTGGTTCCTGCTCCCATTGCTCTGATTTGGTAGACTAAGCTGTGGACTGGCTATAATCCTATGCCCTATTTGTCCTCCAGCAGAGGTTCTGATTTACTGTTCTTCTAGGAGGTAAACTAATAGCACCAAGGGGGCTGGGTCAGCCTTCCGAGATGGCCTGAATCTCACTTCTCTTTGGCTCTTTTTCCTCAACAAAGGTTTGGGTTGGGTTTAGAAGAGTTCCAGGGTTTTTTGGTTCCAGGGGTTTTCTGTAATTCAGGAACCCTAGGGTACCCTATCTATGGGGTTATGAAAATAATTAACAATCCTTTTCTCTCCCTATCCCATTCGGGTCTTGGTGCTATGTCACAAGTGGTTTAGATCCCAGAGAACAGGAGGGACATGATTAGCTGGCACTTGTGAATTTCCATACTTCCCTTCCTTCCAAAATCCTTTTCACTTGCTGATCAATCTTGGCACTGACATTTCCATTCTGTCTCCAAGAGCTTCTTCTCACTAGGTAATTTCCCTGAAATTCTCTTTCAAAGGTCAAAAATGACTGAGTCCTGGTAGCACAGTGGTTAAATGTTTAGCTGCTAACCAAAAGGTTGGTGGTTTGACCCCCAGCTACCCTGATGGATAAAGACGTGGTGAATTAGTATGTATTTTTCTGTGTATATTCTCAGTAACAAAATAAATAAAATTTAGGGGAAAAAAAATGACAGCCTTAGAAACTCTTTGGTGCAGTTCTACTCTGTCCTATTGGGTCATTATGAGTTGGAATTGACTCAATGGCAATGGGTTTTTTGGTTTAGTCAAAGTCTCAATTACTTACAAATTAAAGCTATTTCTCTGAGGTATTATTCTTGGCAGTTATGACATGGGAAGGAGACTATTTCAGACTCTTTGGCTTTTAGTTTACCGAGGGTCACACAGTGAAGCAATAGCTTGGTAGGAGGACAGACTATATAGATGCTTGCAGTTTCTTTGATTAAACTCGTGGAATTGGCTAGGAAGGTAGGGCTGAAAAGGACCTTATCTGTAGCTTGATAAGGAAGAAGGAAAATGAAGACAGAAAAGGAGGGAAGACTGAAAGCTGCCAGGGATCAAACACACTTAGGAAAGCAGGCTCATGAGAAAGTAGATGAGATTTTTGTTGGCTATTATAGCAGGTGATTTTTTTTTTTTTAAATTTATTTGGGTGAAGATTTACAGAGCAAATTCACTTT